GTATCTTAAGATATTTAAGATATCCTAGTATCTCCTAGTGTTATAGCATCTGCCCTCTTGGCGAGATGTCACCTCTTAGCGAGATACTAAGTCACGTGATCCTCGCCCTACGACGATTATTACCTTCTAACGTGGACGTCTATAGGCCTTCAGCTATCTCGTTATTTGTTAAGGAGAGAATCCTTCTTGTTACTTGTAACACGCGGCTTAGTTTTAGCCAGGCCTGTCTCTCTTACCAACACGATTTTCTTCAGACAATATGTCATTTATTAAAGATTAATATAAACTTATTTAATGATATTTTTATCTATGATCAGGAGACTTTTATGGATACTTTGGCTTGTTTTGTAGCCCTGGTCTGATTGTAAAACGAGCTTACTTGCTGAGCTATTATATATACTAAAAATAGAGTGGTTGTGTTTACAAGCCTTCGCAGGATGTTATATTACGTAACTCTTGGGCTTAGTCATGGCCATTACGTCCTGACGCGTACATTGACTGGCCTTGGGTCTCTCGTCCCACTATTCAAGGGAGAATCCTTTCTGTTACCTATAACATCGCTGCTAACGAGTTAAAAGAAGACAATATAGTTCCGTGAGGACTACACTGTCTGTCTGTGTTATAAAGAGAAATTTCGCTTCTGTTTCGCCTAAACTAATAGTCCTGCTAGTCTGGTCTCGAATTGGCCTCGATGTAGTACGTTCTCCGCTACTACTAGAACCGCCATAGGAGTATTATTCTAGATGAGTGCGTTGAGTAGGACCGGTGCCTACACTACTAAGACTAGCTGTATGTCCCAAACGGTTCTGCTTTATATACGGAGCTGCTGTAGATGTACTACGAAACCCCTGCCCCTGGGTAGATGGGCAGAGCCTGCTCGTACGAGGCGCTGCTGTGCGAGCATTGTTGGCCTAATATCCTGAACTGTGGGAGACACTGGATCAGGAACTACTACACTTGTGGAGTGACGACTACTCCTTAAGAAGCTAGATAAGGAGCCCTTAAGTTGCCGCTGATATCTAAGCGCTCTTAGTAAGACCTATAGTTCTGGTCGCTGTGGACCACCTAACCAAGGTAAGACACCTTGGACGCGGAAGAAGCGGCGCCGCTCTTTGCCGAGCCCGTCTAAAAGATTCATAGTTTACCTAGGACGGCAATCTCCGACTGTGGACTGTAGTTCGTGTCCAAGTTTTAGAGTTGCACGATCCGACGTCTGGGGACTTAGCCTCTTCCTATCACGGCTTACTATTCCAAGACGGATAGCCGGATGGTCTGGCTGCTCGCCAAGCATATTTATAATGCATAGCCGTACAGGAGGCTGGCCTAGAACCCGCTGGGGTTAGGCAGAATTGTGGGGTAGGCATAATCAATATAGGAGGGTAAATGTTATTAAACACCGCTATAAAACTTATTTATCACCTTTATAAGCAGGCCCCCCTACTTAGCGTAGACTATAATAGAAATTTATGCTGTCTTATGTTAATAAAGTAGAAAAGAAAACGAGAAAGAGAGAAAATACGCCTCTCTACCTCTCCTCCTATCTCTTCTTTTTCTCTTTCTTACCTTTCTTCTTCTTTTTATTTGATCCTATGTCTTAAAATAGAAGTAAAAGAGAGAGAATAAGGCCTAAATTATAGATAGTATTACACTAATACCGACCCCCAGCTTACAAGGGCGATAAATAAATTGTATACGGGTGGTCAATAATCTTTAACGTATGGTGGTTAGTATACTATTCTTTTAGGATGGCTTATTCGTTGAATCGTAACATCTGGGTCCGACTCGTACTTTATTCAAATCTCGACCGCTAGGGCTCCTGGGAGGGCTGTGCTGTTACATTTATGCTAGTTGCGCCACCGCGTATAGTATTTCGTAATCACGGCACTATTTCAAAACACTACGAGTCTATTTTTATTAGTTACGGCAGTCGCCTTTATGGTTCTACTTTAATCTGTTTTAATCCTAGTAGTGTGTAAGACAGGACCTAGATGTGGGGATGATGGTGTCAGATGTAGACACGTAATAAGGAATAAAATGGATCAGGCGAAAAGACTGTCTGGTTGTCACCCGATGATTGAGGGGACAGATAGCTAGCAAGTGTTTCGTGAGGTTATGGCTTAAATTGGATTATATGTTTGGCGTAAAGCTTATCAGAGTATTGTTTTTCAGAAAAGAATGGCAGGTCACACCACAACCTGTCGGGACGTGAGGCTATAGTATAGAGATAATCAGTTAGACAAGAAGTTAAGTAAGAATAATCAGTACGTTATGATCCTACCTTAGGAGTATGGACAAGTGCAACAGAGACATGCAAGCGTGAGAGACTATCAAGAAGCTAGTTTCCTAGGGAAACCGGCTAAGGTTCAAAGAAGCAGGATTGCGTCGACAGATGGATGATGTTAATCAGAATATCACTAAATTGGTGAGCATGGCTCTCCTTTGACTAACAGGAACACCAGGATTACCTAGTTCTCGCGAAGCTTATGATCAAAACATTCCTTTCTTGTACAAGAGCCGGTGTCATTTCAATGAGCTCGGTGTTTCCTTGAGGCCTTTCTTTCATTGGCGAGCTGAGGTCGGGAAGACATTCAGACGAATGTGCTCTGGATGTTGTGCATGGGTGACTCCGTCGAAGTTGATATAAAGGTAGTGCGAAGCAGACAGACATAACTCATTCCAACTATCACCAGCCCCAGCACAATTTCACAAACCTCATTGGGACCAACTATCACCAAACAGCACAATGTCTGCTATAAACCTCAGTGTTCTTCTCTCCGTTCTCGCCACATTCGCGAACGCGGCGCCTGCAACAGAAGCCAGCTCGGAATCCCACTCCAATGCTGCGATTTATAAGCGTGCAAGCCCCTGCAGCTTCTCTGGTACCATAGACCCCGCCGCTGTGGCTAGCCAGTTGCCGACATGTTCCTCCGTCACCCTGAATGCTGTCAATGTTCCTGCCGGCAAGACTCTGGATCTCTCTAAACTGGCTGACGGCACATCTGTCAATTTTGTGGGGACCTCAACTTGGGGCGTTCAGAAGGGTTTTGCTGGGCCTCTGCTTAGTATCGGTGGTAACAACATCATTGTCACTGGCTCTGCGGGCGCCAAGCTCGACGGTCAGGGCACACAGTATTGGGACGGGCAAGGCAGCAACGGACCAACCCCTAAGCCAAAGTTTCTGTCTGCCCATAACCTCCTTGGAAAGTCTCAGATCAACAATCTCTACCTCTTGAACACGCCGGTTCAAGCTGTAAGCATCAACGGCTGCAATGGGCTTTCAATCACTGGCATGACTATCGACAACTCGGCCAGTGATAGTCTGCCGGCTAGCCAGGCGGCCCACAATACTGATGGCTTCGACATTGGCTCTAGCACGAATATTCTTATTGATCAAGCCGTAGTGCTCAATCAGGATGACTGCGTGGCTATCAACTCTGGGACGGTAAGTTACGGACTTAGTCTATGACGCAGCGGCTGACAGAATGCATAGGGCATCACTTTCCAGAATGGACAGTGCACTGGTGGTCACGGTCTCTCTGTTGGCTCCGTGGGTCACGGTAGTACAACTACCAGCAATACAGTCAGCAACGTCAAGTTCCTCAGCACTACCGTCAAAAACTCCGCAAATGGCATTCGCGTGAAGTCATTCTTCGATGGCAAGGGCACGATCGATCAGGTGACTTACAGCGGTATTACTTTACAAGGAATTTCTCGGTAAGTCCTGCACTCAATCTTACTGGCGAACTTTCCCTTTAGTCGATCCTATAGCGACTTCAAACTGACTGATTCCTAGCTATGGTATTCTCATCGAGCAGAATTATGACGGCGGAGATCTCTCAAAGACCCATGCACCTGGCGCGGGTGTTCCTATCACCGGTCTCACTATCGATAATATCATTGGTGGAGGTTCGGTAGCCGCAAGTGGAACCAACGTTGCCATTGCGTGCGCGAACTGCACCGGATGGACCTGGGGCTCTAGTGTCAGCGTCACCGGCGGTAAGCAGTTCGCATGCGTAGGCCAGCCGTCTGCTGTACCGGCTGGAGTGTGTGCTGCTGCCAAGTAATAAAATTAAGATGACAGTTATTCCTATTTTTAGGAAGAGAGATAGACAAGTAAATAAACGTTTGAAACTTCCTTAGCTTCTCTTAGTCAAGTTCTTGATTAACTACTAGTAACGTGGTTTACAAGCGAGTCGGCACCTATTACGATACTCTGGACTAGAGAAAAACCCTCGGGGGTCCCTCCGGTCAGGGCAGTCATATTCACGTGCATAGAGTATACAGTCTCGTCCGAACCTAAGGTTAGTCCTTGAGGATTCGTCTTAATTACTTTAACTAATATCTTTTATGTCTACATGTGCAACGCCTTAAAATCCTCGACGAAGATGAGAAGAAGGCGACTATCGAGAACCTGGCCTTAAAATACAGGATAAATTCAAATCTGCAGTTAAGAGAGCTTGAAGTCGACACAACTGTGCATATCCAGGAGGGAGAACGACACGGCCGTTTCGTAGAGACTGCTCGTAAAATCGTCAGCTTTCCAAGGTCCTCAGCTTCTACATATCGAAACCTTCCCAGAGAGATCAAGAAAACAGCCTGGAAGCCTATGGTATCTGTGTTACTTACACTGGTGCAGCGAGCATCCGAAGATTTCGTACTCGAGAATCTTCTGAGCGGTATCGACAACTCGGTTCGTTTCACTCTTGGGAATCTGGACTTCACACTCGACGATCTAGTAAACCTCCCACGATAGCCTTTGACAAAGAACTCGAAAAAGGTGTTTATGTCGACGTCTTACATATTAAGGAAAACATCAGCAATGGCTAACCTCCAACCTCATCCAAGCCAACATAGTATCAGGAACCAGCTTCTTATACTCCACCAACCTATATTGTATACACCTATATGTAGCACTAGCGGGAAACTATATTGTTTTATGTCTTTGTTTATATAAACTTATCACCAAGGAAAATTTGTATAGGAGTAGCAACTTACGGAATGCGCAACGAGAGTTAGTTTTGAGCGACACAATGAAATCCGTACGAAGGCGGCGAAGTATAACAATCTTGTGCAGTCATTAAATACTGTCTAAGCTGAAGAGTATCGCTCGAATCGCACCGCAGCGATTAACCCTGCACGAGTAAACTTTATTACCTACGACTTAGGAACGACATATATTGTGATCTATGTATATAGTCGTTGCTTCAGCTACTCCAGTAACTCTACATATTCATTCCTATGACTGCTAACTGCGTTATCAACTCTCACCATGGCTTGGGATATTGAGAACGTCATGTGAGTCCTCTCGAGTAATGAGACCTGAGTGCACCCCCTTGCATATCTCGAGTAGCAGATGGTCTAGTCAGTTAGGTGTCTTTTCCTGGACGCTTTTTTTTGTTAAACCCAACTTTGAAGCCGCGAGTTTCAAGGCTCTGATGCCCAGAATGATTATGTAGCAGCTTTTGTATAGTGCTTCCTATCGCACAACACTATACCAGACTACAGCAAAATTTCAATCACACTATCCAAACGCTTCGGGCTGCTTGTTCAGTGTTAGGGTAAAACACCTTGAAAACCTGCACGCGGAGCTTCGGTAGAGTTAAGCAGTGAGAAACCGTGTCACAGTTCTTGGGCTGAGACCTTGCCAACCATGGTTACTGACCTTGGTAGCCATGTATCGTGTGCCAACAAATACGCACACGGCCTACGATGCTTTCCAATACTAGCATGTTCTTTGCTCCGTGCTCACCTCGAGAAAAAAAATCTGCGCATTACAAACAAAGTAGTTAGTGGGTCAAACCAATGAGGATATCCACCGTGCTCGGCCTACGATACACATTGTCGGCGGAAGAAATGGGCAAAGGTACGCTATGCACAGAGTTGCCTGGTGTTGTGCTATAGTAGTATTCAGAGAAATGTCACGGGACAAGTTGAGCAGGCGAGAAAATTCCACACTCAATCAAAGACGATTTGCAGTGCGCGCATACACCCAAGCTTTTACACACTCGAGTCTCGTACCAATATATCATCATACATATAAACATTCCACAATATATCGGAGCAAGGCAGGCTCGAGCGTATCATCGCGGCGAGCATTACCATACGCAGCACCCACATACGGGGAGAAGAAACCACGGCAAAGGCCGGCCAAACTGCGGGTCTGGCGAAAAGAAAAAAATTTCGCGACAGAGATTTCACGTGCACGGGACTTTGGTGGGCACAGTCACGTGATGCTTTTTCTTTCTGTCGCGCACGGTCCATGTGCAGAAGGGTTAAATAGAGCGCTTTGCCCGTCCCCTCAGGAAATCTTCAGACCATGTTCGTATTCCCCAGCATACCCCCTACACTCAACAGCAGTCCTTGCTAACGACCGACACCAGACTTCATAGAATCATTTCTAATAGTATGCTTCTCCTTCTGAGTTACTCTAAGTAGCCACAGAATCTCCAACCTGGTTGATGACTGAGAGCCTCGATGTCCCGGAGTGAGGCCTTGTTTACGATTTGCTTCGGCAAGCGTGGCGATGATCTTCAGCTGACTGGCTGTGTACTTCGGTCACACCGGAAAGCAGGACGTTGATGGCAATCTGACAGGCTTTTTGTTTTTTCATTGATGGTGCTGGCCTGGCCGGTTCATTGAGGAAGGAACGCATGACATGGCGATGGAATACAAGCGCAAAAGGACAGGCGGAAAAATTACAATATGGACTCTATGGACAACGTCTGCTTGCTGTGCTTGCGCACCCAGTCTATGCTGCGACGTGCATGGTTCAGCACCACGCGTATTTCTCGTTGGCCACCCAGTCGATCTTATCCGCTACCGGGCCTTCGTGCTCCAGATACCACCTCAGGCTTGGGATACTATCCACGTCCCTGTGAACGACACTGGCACTTGGATGCAGTTTCCTCGCAGCTGCAAGCGCCGTGGGTGAAGGCGCCCACATCTCTACTTTCTCCATCTTCCACTCCTCTGCCTCTCGCTGCGCCATGGCCAGCAAGGCCGCAACGGCATCTTCGTGTCTATGGTCTTGACCTGTACCGTTGGCTTGGCTCGACGAACCCTCCCAACCACCATCTTCAATCACCAATCGCAGAATGTACAGCGTGTTGCCCTTTGTGTCTGCCGGGTCCTGATTATACCACATGCGCGTCCAGTAGCACCATACGCGTTTTCCTTTTTCCGTACCCACAATGGCGCCCTTGATTTGAGGCCTCTTGCTATGAAGCTCATTCCCCACAAATTCTTCGCGCGCATGGTGCCAGCGTATCGTCTCGATATTGGGAATCAGAGCGACGGCTGTGTTACTTCCTTTTGGCCGCGACTCTAGCTCTCGGCGGACAAGAGCCACGTCAGTCTCGCACAGGTCTTGCAGATCTTGTGCATAGAGCGGTCGCGCTGTGGGCAGCCTGCTCGTGTCTTGGCTAACGGTACCGGGAATAGAGACGTGCGATGCTGAGAAGGGCTCCCAACCGAAGGTGTTGTAGAATTTCTACCGTCGTTAGTTGCTGACGAGTTTGCATAGCAACAAGTACTCACCTTTCCGATATCCGAATATAGTACCGAGAATAAGCACTCTGTGCCGTCCTTTGTCTGATATGTTTTCAATATCTCACCCAGCTCTGTCATCATCCTCTGTGCATAACCACGCTTTCGCAGGTGGTTGGCGCAGAACACGCTTCCGACGCCGTGACAGATGACTTCCTTGAGCGTGCCGTCTTGCCATACCCACGCCTTCTTTCGGTATGTTTCACAACTCGCCAGCGGCAACCTGGTCCGGGACTGTGGATCTAGCGGATTGTTGGGCAATGAAGTGTCGACTAGGATCCAGTACGAGATGCCACCATCACGCGTCATCTCAGTCGCCGCGAGGACATCTTCACGGCGGAGATAGGCTGGCAGCTTGAGAGCACCGCACCATTCCTCCGCGTTGAGTTTGAATTGGATCAACTTCTCCGTATCAGTAGGGTGGACGAGGGCCAGGGAGGGAGAGTCGCCTTTGGGGAGGTTATCGGTGATGGCCATGATTGCTATATTGTTTTGCAAAAGGACCGAGTTGCGACACGGCCTTGTTCTTTATAACTTTTGCTCGTCCAGCTTCCGGTGACTACACTACTTGTCAAGCTGTCGTAGGGCGTCGTAGGCATGCGCTCGGCCCAGTTCCCATGCACGTTCGAAGCAAGGACGATACCGTACGGAGTAAGCAGTGGGCCCCCGGATGCTACAGATTGGCTATGTCGGTATCAAATGACGGAGTGCTAAGCAGGAAAAGGAACTCGTCGTCGGTGGGTCTCTGTTTAGTCCAGAACACCCCGCGTCCCCGTGGCTCCATTCCGCCTTGGTTCTCCGTGCAAACTTATGGCCAACCCCAGATTCCAACAAAGGCACTCGGACGGGTACGTGACGTTGGGCGGCCCGTTGTATGCCGTGGCAAAGCGAGTTCGGATGCCACTGCTTGCCATGGGTCATGTGCAGCCGTCCGATTCGCGAGTAGCATCGGATCTTGCATGAAGCCGGTCGCCTGCTCACTGAGAGTTACGGGTTAGTGTCTGCACTCATTGTTTATTTACCACGATCATGGCCATGACTGGTGGTCACCAACATTGCTTCTTATCGGTCCAGTACAACGCGAGGGCAGGCTTGTGACAACGCCTCGTCATTACTTAGCGGCAGTTCAGCCTCGCTAGCCTGCGGTGCCAGCCTCAGACCAACCGCGCCATCGCCAGGGCAAAACCACCGTCTTTTGACCATCACCGTTGTATCATTGCTCAAAGTCGATATGCTCGGTCGGTTCTGCTGAGTACTGGCTGTGCTGTAATAGCCGTGCATTCAAGTGTGCTGTCGTGGCACGTCGCTGTTGCTTTAACTTACCTTTCGGTGGTACCATTGCCCGCTCCGCTGTCCCTTCCGCGATAGCCCCCCCCCCCGACCCCAGGCCAGCTTACATCTAGAATATTCGCACCACTGCACACTGCATCTCAACCCGAACCTTGCGCTCACTCTTTTCATTTTCTTTTCTTCTTCACATTCACTGCGCATTGGCGGTGGAAGACGCTGAGGGTCGGTAGGTTGCCTGACGAAGGTGCCCGACAAGGCTGTCTCCAAGTGAAGTTGAACTGGTCTTGTTCACGTAAACGCTACGCACACATGCCCCTCGCGCTCATTTCCCTTCACCAGACCACGTAAATAAGTACATATTAATGTCTATCACTTGGTCCTCTCCTGAGACCCTACGCACGGATTCGCTGTCGCTCAATCTGAGCACTGCTCTGGTAACTACACGTTGCGAGCCCAGCCTTTGGATCCACCACCACATCACCCGATCTCTCATATATGCGGAAAAAACTAGACTCCCTTGAGATTTTGAGATTTCAATGGCTCCACCTGGGTTTCGCGTGAGTCGAGAAATTGTCGTTCTCTCTGATAGTGAAACAGAAGATGAGGACCACGCAAAGCAGGAGTTGGAGGATCTCATTGCAGGACCGGCAGCAGGGCCCGCGCAGAACAACCTGCACATTGACGGAAATATTCCAGAACCCCGTGGAGGCGTACCAGTCATTGATCCCGATACGATTGACTTGACCGCTATCCCAGATATTGATGTTCCGCCGTCAGATCCCGTCGGGTTACAGGGCAATATACTGCAGCCCGACGGCCAAGCTTCTGACCAGAATGCACATAGCCGTATACTTACCGAGACTGCCTGCCTGCAAATGGTTCTCAGCGTATTGCCGGACATTTCGGTGGAGTATGTGCTCAAGCTTATCAAGGAGAAGACAACCGATGCCACGCGAACAACGGCCCGATGCGAGCATCTTATCGCCGAGCTC